CCACAGAGTCATAAAAAGTCCTGAGCAGAGGCCTGCTCACTCCGAAGGACCTCAGCCTCCTCAGAAGGGCCGCAGCCTCCTCAGAAGGAAGAGGCGACTTTGGCCCTTCTTGTGCAGAGCGTTGGTGGTATGGGACCAGTCCAGTTTATTGTTAATGTGAACACCCAGGTACTTGAAGCTGTCCACCAGCTCAATGTCCTCCCCCTGGATGTTCAGCAGCGTGTGGGAAAGTGATCATCTCCTTGGTCTTACTGGTGTTCAAGCACAAGTGGTTGCGCTCACACCAGTCGACAAAGTCTGTCATAACCGTCTGGTATTCCAGATCGTTCCCCTCAGACACACAGCGCACGATGGCGGAGTCATCGGAGAACTTCTGCAGGTGACAGCTGTGTGTGTCATGTGTGAAGTCTGAAGTGTAGATGTTGAAGAGAAACGGTGAGAGGACAGTGCCCTGAGGGGCCCCAGTGCTGCAGACTACCACCTCAGATTCACAGCTGCGCAGCCGCACGTACTGTGGTCGGTCTGAGAGGTAGTTGATGGTCCATGCGGTGAGGTAGTTGATGGTCCATGCAGTGAGGCTACTGTCCACTCCCGCGTCTTCCATCTTCCCCCGCAGCAGTACCGGCCTGATGGTGTTGAAAGCGCTGGAGAAGTCGAAGAACATGACCCTCACAGCGCTCCCGGCGGGCTCCAGGTGGGAGAGCGTCCGCTGCAGGAAGTAGATGACGGCGTCCTCTACTCCGATGTTGGGCCTGTAGGCGAACTGCAGCGGGTCCAGGGTGGGGCTGACCACAGAGCGGAGATGGGTGAGGATGAGCCGCTCCATGGTCTTCATCAGGTGGGAGGTCAGTGCGACTGGTCTGTAGTGAGCCGGTTCCTTGGCGTGCGCAGTTTTAGGAACCGGGATCACACAGGAGGTCTTCCACAGGACAGGGACCTTCTCCAGGCTGAGGCTCAGGTTGTACATGTAGCTGAGGACCCCAGAGAGCTGGTCTGCACAGGTCCTCAGCAGCCTGGGACTGATCCCGTCCGGTCCTGCGGATTTCCTCTACTTCAGTCGCTGGAGCTGACTCCTCATCTGGTCCGGTGTGATGGAGAGGGGGGGGGGCCGGTGTGTACTGTCCGAGGTGGGGGCTGGGGATGTGGAGGCAGCCGAAGGCAGTGTCCACTGGGCGGTGTCCACTGGGCTGGGGACGTGTGAAGAGGTGGGGGCGGGAGGGGGGGCAGTTTCCCTGGGCCAGCTTCTGCTCCAGCTTTTTCCCATAGTCATTCTTGGCCTTCTATGGTGTAACAATTTTCTCCCAATCACATGGTTACATTTGCAGCTGGTAATTTTCAAATTTAGAAAAGGACAACTACTCCTCCCTCTGGTGGTAGCATGAGGATACTGTGATAGTAATTTTCAATAACCAAGAATAATCTGTATTATTTCCTATTTAAAATCTTTTAATGTAAGTTGAGTGTTTATGAGTCAAACTCGGGTTACTATTAATAATGAGTTCATAATATTAATAAAGTTAAGTTATGAAAGGCTTCACATTACATTATTTAATCCAAAATGTGACAACGATGAACAAAAAAAAGTGTTTGTAAAATCACTGAGTGCAATGAGTTTCAAGTTGTGAAAGACAAAAATTGATGTTGACACTCAGTCAAACTTTATGAGACCAAAGCAAAATACAACATATTTTGCAACAGCAAAACAACGAAATTTGCAACACAACCGGCTGTCTTTTCCTCATATAGCCTTGTTTATGGGGGAAAATGTGGAAAATCAAAATGACATATGTTTTAAGTTCTTCTGAAAACTCCATGTTTAAAAAGTACCAGATTGTAAACACAGGCATTGAATACTATTGAGTTTTAATTTATAGCGTGGATATACAATTTTGGAATTGAAAATATGCTGTATAACTTGTTCAATAGAAGTACCGGACAAAACAAACAATGTTGCATAAGAAAAATTTGATCCATTGCACTTTGACAACCCTTTTCTAATTCAAAGCATACTTTTCCGGTAGAGGGTGATGATAAAGTAAAGTTTGTGACAAGCCAAATGTGTACTTTACACGCATATTTTGACTGCACTAGACCCTCCTCTTGTTTTTATCACGGCTGTTTTGCCTTCCTGTTGCCTCTCCTTTCCTCACCTCAAGGACACAGGTTTTTAGTACAGCAGAACAGAGGGCAAGGCCGCTCGCTCAGCTGATAGAGAAAACCAGCCGCGCACTTTGGATATAATGCTGGAATTCAAAGCTCTTTTTCCGTCCTGTAGGGAAAGGGGTGGTGGGTGCCAGAGGAAGGCCCCTCGTGTGTTTTTGCAGACAGTTTGACTCCGGAGTTGATACCCTCCTGATGACTCGTGGAGGAGCATACATCATACAGCGCTGCCCTAAACGTCACAAGCGAGAAAATACAAACACAAAGGTCCCAGAGGTTGAACATTCCCATGAGAAAAACAGGAAAACTTTGACATGTAAATAATCCAGTTCTATCTGCCCATCACCTGGCGACAATACGCACTCATTGTACAATGACTGGAAGTGGAGGGCATACAGTATGAGGGGAGGGTAGTAAGATAGATGTGCGAGAAATATAAAACCTAGCTTCATTGCAGTTTCCTTAACACAAATTTGTTCTCTATTGTATGTCAAAATCTAGGGGCAAGTGCTGCAAAATAGCTTTGGCTATAAGCAATATGATGCATGCATCAGACTACTGTACAACAGTCTGTCTAAGTTTTCTTTATCTCTCCCTTTCATAAGCCGTAAATACTGTACACCACTTTTACCCTCTACGGAGCACTTTTAAAATGTGAAAAAACACATTTGCGCATGTGTTAGCCGGCACAAACCCCATTCATTTAACGAGGGCCTTCTGAAGTCCACAGCGGCTAAACTAGACTGGTCCAAACAAAATACCCCCCTCAGCATTGACATACATCTGGGCCAAGAACCGACTTTTGGACCATCCCGTAAAGTCGAGAGGAAAGAAGACGCCACACATTATTGGGTAATTCTTATTCCGGGTCCACCCCCACCGGCCCGGAGTGGTATTGCTAGCATGTCAGTGCACACGCTCATGGACCTTTTGGAGCCGGGACCCACCCCCACTGGTCCCTACTAAAATAAACCAAACAATAAAAATCTGGGTCGGCTTGTCATTAGCTGATTTGGCATCGCTAATATTGTTGAATCAGTCGCCCTGGATATAGTGTCTTATATTAGTGATTATTTTCCAAAAAAGTAATGGAAAGTACTTTCAAACATTGAATGATGAGCAAACTGCAAGGTGTGTCCAGAAGTGATGTCAAAACAGTTGTAACCATAGAACTTACTATTGACAATAGACTAGTATAAACATATTTATTTGCCATACACAAGCTAATGGTTTTAGAGTGTTGTCCAAAAATCAGGGAGTATTCAAATCAGAGAGGGTTGGTAACACTGACTGTAGTAACTTCTCTACAGTCTCTGATCATAAATACAAGTCCAGCATGTTATGGGGTACGAGTGTTCCAATTTCTACCTTGATCTTATTTATTATCTTGTCTTTGATCATACATTTTTGGAATTCACATTTGAGGAGACTATACGCGCAAATGATCGCAGGAGCCTCTAGGGCATGAAAGTAAATGTAACAGGTAATTAAAAAGATTTCCATCTTCTTATCTTTAAAAATAATACTTGTAGGTGTGCTTTTCCATTCTTTCTAAAAATCAAACAGTCAAGACAAGTGGTTTTGTGCATGAGTTAAAAAGGGCGGGAGAATCCTGGTCTAAAGTTTAAATCCATCTCATGCTTATTTTTAGCTCAAGTACTTTTATCCAAATAAATCTGTTCATTCATGTGATGAGGGTTGAAACAAACAAAAACCGTCATTGCAATCTTAGATCCATATTATTGGGCCAGACTTTACTACTGTCAACAAAAATCACACTTTTGCTGCATTAATTGAATGTAATTTCCGTAACAGTAACGCTAGGACGTCCAACAAAGTTTACCTTGCCAAAGCTGTCCAGTCTGCTTTCTTTCTAACTAATAAACTTGTACTTCATGACTTTGTCCATCAATCCATCCATTATCTTCCCTTATATTCGGGACAAAGCAGCCCAGACTTTCTTATCCACACACACTTCCTGTGCTCATCGAGAGGAATCTTGAGGTGTCCCCTGGACCACTGAGAGACTGTCCCTCCAGTGAGTCCTGGGTCTTCCCCGCGGCCTCCTCCCGGTGAGTTATGCCCAGCCCAGCTTGATAAGTGAAAGTCATCAACAACGAAATCCTCCATGACGATTATCTTTACGTGTGTGTTGTAGTTCCAGAATAACCCTGATGAAAGTCATTAATTAAAATCAGACTAGTCTTATTGTCCATTAATAAGACTAATCTGATATTATCATTACGTGTAACTTTAGTTCTATTCAGTGCATTAGAACCAGATGTGTGTTCGTGTCATGAGGGAGCACTATATTTACAAAGAGCAGAAAAGGCAGCTGCTCCATGTGCTTTGTACTGTATGTGTTGGACGGAGAGTTCAGACGCTCTTGTGTTAGTTTTCTCACCAAAGCCAATCAACCCTGACTTCTGCTCTACAGAATGTAATCACGGAGACCTCTGAAACAGATGATAATCCAAACAAAACATAGCGTTACAAATCTTCCCAATCCACTAATTTCACAAACTTACTTTATTTACTTTAACTTTAACTATTTGACCTCTGCATTTGACCCATCCTTCATTGCCACTAGGGCCTCTGTCAGGAGCAGTGGTCGCCGTAGTACAGCACCTGGGGCCTCATCTCCTGATGTTGATACTCGGCTTGGTCAGGACTACCGGAGTGGGAGGTTCTGCTCATTGTACTTGTTTTTAGCAGGAGGAGAACCAAGAGCACCGGGAGGAAACCAACGCACATTCAGAGAGAACATGCAAACTCCACACAAGAAGGCCATGTTACGACTGGGATTCAAACCCAGGACCTTCAGCCAATCAGAGCGGTTTTCACTCTTCATTGAGAAGAGCCGTCGTGTGCCTCTGTGTCGTGGCTGACCTGACCCTCTGCACTGGTGAAACAGCTGATGGAGAGATCACAAGTGTGGAGACAGATGGACACACACACACACACACACACACACACACATACACACACAAACACACATGGCTGCAGGACATTCTTCCACACTGTACAGGCCCATCACACTCTCATTAGCCTCCAAAACTAATGCCTCCATTTAAATACACCAGAGACAGTTGCTAATACGATTCAACAGCTGCACAGAACTCTTGCCCATTTTCTGCTCTTCTATTCCCTTAATCCACTCTTCCTTTCCACTTGTTTTTTCTGTCATCTTTCCAGCAGAGCAGGCCTACATCTCCAGACACTGCAAAAATGACTGGAATACAGATAATACAGATAGTGAAGTGTATTTGACCCGTTTGGATTGAACTATAATGCAGATTAAATTACAATAAATTCAAAGTCCAGAAACATTAATCTTAGGAAAAACTGAATTGATAGTGGTAAGAAAAAAGTCTGCTAAAACAACAGCAACATTTTATGAAGTAAAATCGAAAGTGAACAAAACAAAGTGACGTAGGAAAAAGTAGAAACGTTCAAAAAGTCACAACTCATCTGAAACTCATCAGATCTAAATTTTGGCTGATACTGTCTTTGAGACGTGTAATGGAACACTGAAGGGACATGCACTGTCAGTGCTCCACAGATTACAATTACAGTGACACTTTTGTTTCCAGAATCTTCTGTCTGTGACAATAAAGCTCCTAAGCACTGATTACTGATGCAGACCACATGTTTGTACCGTTAATACAAACTCTGCATGTTACGTATGACTACAAACATACGTAACACACAAATGTGTGGCGCTAATTTTGGTTTGTACATTTTTGTTTCATAAACTTTTTAAAAGGAACCATTTCACCAAACAAACCCAAAGGTTTCATTCTGCTCTCTGATTGGATAATCTGCTTGAAAATAGTATTATGATCACAAAACATGATGGAGATCATGTACATTGTATTTTTAATCAAGATAAACTCCACTTTAAACTTTTGTTCAGAAAAGGTCAAATATGAATTGCACATGTGACCTGTTAACTATTATCATATGAAAGATTTAAGTCATTTGAAATCAAAATACAACATCTCCGACTGAATATAGCACAGCCTTCATCAATTAAAATTAGTTTTAGACACCTTGATAATAGTTTATAAAGTAATAAAATAGGATTCTAAAGTTTAGATAATAATAAAACGTGCTTTTTAGAGGAAATCAAAGATGCTTTACAGAGGAAGGTTTGTTCAAAAATCAAATATAAAAGAAAAAAAGGATAATAATGTGAAGCTAGCTATGAGCTGTAGGCTTGGTGAAATAAATGAGTTTTAAGTCCTTTTTTGAGGCTCTGAGTCCGAGTTTCTGAAAGATTGTTTCTTTTTTTCATTGTAAATCATGAGATTTACAAGAGATTGAGAGTTCAATCGAGCAAACTGAGTCTACCATATCATTATTCTTGAATTGTGATAATCTTGATACATTTGCTGCCTGCTTGTCCTGTTACCAATACAAGCCACAGTTGTATCTTCTTTGCAACACGTCTAATGTAACAACCATGCGCCTGCTGATCTGTGCTGTGTCTTTCTCTCTATCTCACTGGGTTGGAATCTGTTCTTTAGTCAGTGCAGGGAGGGGAAGCTTGGCAGATGGAGAGGTTGGACAAACGAGGGGAAAAAGGAAAGGAGGGCCAGGGTTTTGTGCAAGGACTGAGGGAAGGTTTGAGTTGTGGTTGTTCTTTCGCTGGGTCCCGCGCCACCCTGGTTGCTGCACACGGCCGATGCCAATCAGAGAAAAAGGAGCACGACAGGGAGGTGGAGAGCTGCCAGAGTAACTTTCACTCACTTAAACACATTGGATCAATATCACTCCTCCCCTCGTTCATTTAAAGTGTGTGAGCCAAGACCTTCAAAGATGCTTCAACTGCCCAGCCTACATTTATTTTCACTCAACCAAAAACAACAGCTTGAGTTACATTAAAGATTAACAGGAACATAATTCAAGCATCCAGCAGAGAATGCCCGGCCATCACTGAGGCATTTGCCACATATTGCAATCGTTCTCATTTCAGAACAGTCACAAATTTGATAACATCAAATTTGTGCCGTGGCAAGAGCTCTGGTGTGTGTCGTCTCTGTCTGGCGCACACCGGGGTAGTCTTGCACAGTTTTTCCAATGTGGTTTTACTGCAAATGGCAAATAAATGAATCTGATCTGATGTTCATGCACTTGAGCTTAGCGCCTAACTCACACAGAACTATCGGAGCGCTTTTCCCCCTGAAGCCGTCACAGAACCAGACTCAAACGAGCTTTTCCCACAAACACTTTTGTCCCAGTATACTGAAGATGTAAAGAGCGATATTCACTGCAGCCTACTTTGTGACATTGCCTTTTTACAACTTTGGATTGCTCATAAAATTGCTCTCATGCATTTGCATTGTGCAATAAAACACACCAAGTTTTCTCTCTTCTTGTCTCAGCAGTTTTGGTGATTACACAGGTATGTGTGGGGGGCGGGGGTGACAGTGGCTGAGTTGGTAGAGCATTGGCCTTTGAGCCTAAAGGTCGTGGGTTCAAGCCCATCACGAGACCTTCTCCACCGACTCCCACTGATGTCTGCAGCTGTTGTTGCAAGACACAACTTTGCCTGAAGCCCCCACTGAAAGATAAAGGCTCTGCTCTCACAGACGGAGCTGCCACCCTCCTGTGGACTCATAACCTGCAGGAGGATCAGTGAGGGGCTGGTGCTCTGTGAATTGGATGCAGCCCCGACCCAGAAAGGGATTAAGGGGAAGGAGATGGATGGATAGACGGTTATGCGAGGCAACAACCAGTAACAAGGCCTCACTGGACTCAGTCGGTTTGAATACGTTTTTCTCAATTGATTTGTGTTGGACTAATGACTAATGCTTCTCTCTCCTCCAATGTAAACATAATCACGCCAAGAACAGTGCTACTACACTTTTCTCTGCCATTAATTCAACTAAAAAACACCACATTACTGATGATTGCTTTTTTCTGATCGGCGGATTGATAGAATTTGATACATACGGCCAATTGTCCTTTAAGTTAAGACGTAAACCCAAAGGGAAAAACAGAATACAATCATTATTAATATATATTTCATTCATTCAAAAGTTGTGCTTGTAGAATATGTGGAAAGTTGCCAACGGCCTAAAAGAAATAACTTGCGCTCACTTAAGCACTCTAAACACCCACCCCTCCCCCTTCTCCTCCTGTCCTTTCAAATCCTGTGATAAACCTAATCACACTTGAAACCGCACACCCCTCTTACCCTCAGTGAAAGGCTCCCAGTTGTAGAGTCGACCCATGAATTCCTGATCGTTGAAGGCCGCGCACTGCACCGCTCTGGAGTCCCGCGCCCCTCCTCCTCCTGCAGCCGCCGCACACACCTGGAAGGCAGGGCGAGAAACCCCAATGTGAAAAACCAACACCAAATCACTCGCCCATGGGCTGAGGTCGCCACATTCTTGAAATAGATGTTTTCAGATGGTGGCCAGGAGGTTTATACTTTATCCTGTACATTTCCCATGCTTTAGTGTAGCTTAAAGTCATTTTATCAGACAACAATTTTGCCTGTGTTTGAACAATGCAGGACTTTATTGAGCCCTAAATGGTTTTAGCAATGTGAGAGCAGCAGAGAAGGAGCCTCTTTATAACCGTTTTTGACATAGTTGATTAGTAGAAAAGTGGCCAATTGATCAGAGAAACTCGAGGAAAACAAAATAAAATACTGATGCTGCGATTTCACCCCTGGTTATAAAAATGCCAGGGGCAAAATCACAGCATTAAAGTAGTAATATGTAAGATTTATTCAAGTCATCATTAATATGGCCCTATTCTGTCAAACAAAAGAAACATGCTCTTTTCGAATACTTCTTTAACTGATAACAGTGGTTCACCCGAGACATTTGAATTTCAAAATTGGATTTACAGACCCTAAATATTGTCATTGTTTTCATTTTGATGTCCGACTCCCACCCTCCACCATTTTACCAATCACAAAGTCAGTGATTCGAGTTGCCAGAGCTCACCGCGTTGAGCTAATCTCACTGTAAAGTAACATGTGGCCACGATATTAAAAAAGGTCTCATCATGATTCTCAAATCATTAATGACAAAACAAAGACTAAAACAAGGTTTTCTATCGGGGCTTTTGGGAAAAAGGTGTTGGTTATAGATTTGTTGTTGACAAAACTCTTGTCTATTCAGATATTATGGTCCCAGCTGGATTTGTCTGCTTATCTGGCAACCTGAGTCAGGGAGAGTGGGAGAGGTTGCAGTACAACTTTGGCCAGATTTTTACATATTGCTCCTTTAAGTTAAAGAAGCACTGGAGAGAAAACCCTGAATGGTGATGTAATAAGACATTTACTTTAGTTTACTGACAGTTTTCATGTCAATCCGGCCTGAAATTACAATAAGGAATTAGCTGTGAACTCTATCTACGCCTGACAATCTCTCCCAGTTTAAACTATTGAACACAGTATTTGACAGTGATGTCACATGAACGCACCCTATTAAACATCCACCTGTTTCGCTCTCCAAGTCCCGAAGGAGGTGAGGGAGGGACAGAGTGAAAGTATAAGCCAAGAAATAGCAGCTTATAACGAAGGAGACAATTAAGTTAGAGGTACGCGCATACTTAGGAAAACTAGGCAAGGAAAAGAGGCATATGGAAATAATAGATTTTTGGAAGCATCGGGAGACATAAATCCTCCAGTGCATGACCGCAGAGCTAGCGGCAGCGAGTGCATGTAGCGGTATGCGTGTGTATATGTTTGAGACCGCCAGGGCAGGACACTTATGGAGCAGTATGGTCCAGAGAGTGTTAGCATACCTGAGCCAGCCACGACAGCTGAAATGTCAAGGAGAAATGAGCTCAAGTAGGTTAGGCTAAAGAGTTTAAAATACCTGTGTTCGAAGATTTTTTTGTAATTACTTATAGCAACTTGTTTTGGGTCGGAAATCTCTTTGATTGGTTCTTACATCTTACATTGATTGGTTTAAGTCACATTTACATCACCATAGTTTAAAAGGGGACATATTGAGCAACATTGTAAGAGCTTCTATCTATGTTATAAATATTTAGCCTTTTATTTACTCACTCAAAGCTGTTTTAGAGTGATTCATGCATGTTTGAGTGTCTCCACTGACAGCCGTACTCTGTCCCTGCTCCATCCCCACCACAGAGTCATCCTCCGGGTCACACTTGTCCCAAACTAAAATCACTACAACATCCTCTCTCTCTACTCTGTTTACTTGCATCTCCGTAGCATTTATGTAAGCAAAAATAGAGTACATACTGCACAGATTGACCAAAGAACGTTTCTATGAATGAATCAAAATGGATCTTGACTTGAGTATATCTTCACTTTCCTTATGAATAGAAAATAACAGAATAGAAAATAATATAGACACTTAATTCATCCCAAAGGAAATTCACATCCTCAACTCAATCTGCCATCAGGTCATTCATCAAGACAACATAAAATCATAAAATAGATAATAATGAAAAGAGCCATTAAGTTAAACAAGCATTTGAATTCTTGTTCCATTGACAAAGACAGCATAATGCACTGAAATCAAGCATTCAAACATTTATTTTGGATCATGTTTGGCAGAGCAGAAGTCAGGGTTGATTGGCTTTGGTGAGAAAACCAGCACAAGAGCATCTGAATAACCGTCCAAAACACACACAACACACTAAACACACACAACACACTAAACACACACAACACACTAAACACACAGAGCACACGGAGCAGCTGTATTTTCTGCTCTTTGTAAAATATGGTGCTCCCCTGACGACACAAACACACATCTGCTTCTGAGGCACAAACTAAAAACACACATAATGATAATGATAATAACTCACTGATATTAATTAGGATGACATTTTTCTAAAACTATGACACACATGCATAGATAATAGCTATGGCAATTACGCGGACAATCATTTTCACCCAAGGGAGCTCTTAATAAGCTGCCCGATTCCGCAGGAAGTTGGCAACACTGGCCAAAATGTCAAGCAGAGTTAAACCGCAGCCAAGGTGAGGGAGCAGTGTGCATAAAGTGCATATGACAGGTTTTCATGTTTTTAAAGTTTTGACTCAGTAGATCCGAAGCTTAATCTTGCCGACGTCAAGTAAAAGTACAAATTTCACTCAAAAACTAACTTCGGGTAATGTTACAGGGTACATAAAACGCGTCTGGATATAACCTTGACGGTAAGCCGCGCTCTTGACAGACATATTACATCAGGTACAATATTATTCAGCAAAGCCACAGTCGCTGGACAAGAATGTTGGAGCTCTGAGCCAAACTAATGAAAGACCACACAGGCGAAGAGAGGGAGAGAGGGATACTGAGAGAAGACTTCAACTTGATCCAGTATCACTGAGTCCAGGACCAAAACCGGAGATCTTTAACTTCAGAGTTAAAAGCTATAGAAAGCGTGACTGCCTGAGCTGCAGTTGTTGCTACTGCGATGTTTGAGAGAAGCCAAACATTTCTTTAGACTGTGACTGAATACTGTATCGTCCAATTGGTTTAACTATATTTAAGAAGAAGAGGGTCCTTTATTCATCCCACAGAGGGGTGATTTCAGTTGGATGAATACACATACACATATACACATATACACACCAAGGCATGCACGCTCCTTGTAGGCAAAGTGGGTTTAATGTCTTGCCCAAGGACACAACGGCAGCAGACATCAGTGAAGTAGGTGAAGAAGGTCTCACGGTGGGCTTGTACCCACAACCCAGGTTAATGCTCTACCAACTGAGACACTGTCACCCTATTTACAATTCCTTTATCTAATATATTACACGGTGAGAGTTGATTAACAAAGTAATATTCTTGTATTTCTCCTTAATGACTGTCACAAAACCATTTGATAATCAGTGCTGCACTAAAGCTCAGGTGTGTTTCTGAGTTTGATTTTCAGCACAGAACCTTTGTAGTTGACTTTCTCTCTTCACTCTTTGCTGTTCCATCCATTAAATGTTTAAAGAACAAATAGTATTATTATTTGCTTTGATATTGGCCCTTAAACACTATCTTGAGAATATGTATATAATAAATAAAGGAAGGATCTAGTGTGAAAACCTAGAGGTAGAAGTAGATTCTGAAGGAATGCAGTTGTAAATAGTAAGTAAGTACTGTAAGTAACGTTTATTTATATAGCGTATTTTACAGACCAAGGACACCCAAAGCCCTTTACAATGTTAAGAGTTCAGATATTGTGAAGCAATAGCATAAATTAACTGAAGAAAAAAAACTAATTTGGTTTTTTTTTTGTTTCAGCAGCAGAAATCAGCTCTCTCCATGACGTCTTAGTCTAAGGATTCGTCATAGCCTGCCACATGTAAGATAGGATAAGGTTCATTTAACTTCTTGATATGGATTTTGTTCCTCATATTACAGTCGATGGAGTCTAAAACAACTTTTGATGAGGGAACAATGTCATAACTCAAAGACAATTTTGCATAATCACATTAGTTCAACATTAGAAATAAGCGAAGAGCTGTTTGTTTGGTGGCAGTGCGATAGGAAAAATGACTGGGACACATACATATAATAAAGCCGTCTAAAGCCAAGGCACATCTTTAAACTAACATGCCTTGGATACAGTCGTGGCGTGATCACACAGCTGGCGCATCACAGTCACACTTTTCTTCATCTTCCAAAACGCTTTCTCAATCGTGTCACCGATCGGTTCCCGTCCTCCCTGGTCGCACACAGCTGCCCCAAACAGCTGGAACGCTCCTTGTCACAGCCGCATTAGGGCGTTGAGAGCGAGAAAGCTGTTGCGTTTATACAATGAACAGCGACGCGCCAGGCATGCACACACATAACGGTTCCCATGTGCAGAGGCAACTGAGACGCAGTGTAACCAAATGGATAAAGTGTCAAAAGCATTCCTCCGCGCGCTAACACCCCGTGGCCCTCTGCCGCTGTCACAAGGATCTCATTCGGATTAGAAGCCTCTTCACAGACTAAAGTCATTTGTGTTTTATTAATCTATTACGTGGGGAGAGTCTAGAAGTCAAGACATGAGGCGATAAAAATGAAGTAAATGTAGTTGGTGTATTTTTCTGAGGGCTTCAATATTTGATAAAACCTGATACCAGTGAATTCAAGATTCAAGATTCAAGAATTGATTTGCCATTTGCAGTACAAACACAAAACCAAAACTGTGCAAGACTACCACAGTGTTAGCCTGGCCATAGCCATCCTTACACTCCGCTAAATCATCATTTCACTGCATGTAGCGTCTGGGTCTGGTCCCTGTGTTAGCGATTACAATCGGTCGTATTTCGACCGGCTACTCAGAGAGCACGTTGTAGGTCGGTGCCGGTGACGCCAAGAGTTTGCACCGAACGGGCAGGTTGTGGTTTGGCAGTGGCGAAGAATGCGATAGTAAAGTAATCCGGTCTGGTTCTATCAAGAAATTGAAGCTGGAGCAAGAGGAATGTTTAGCAAATGTAATCGCTGGTCAAGATTGTGGCGCTACTCCCCACGGGCTCCGTTAGCAGCAAAGGAGACGGCTAGGCTAAATGCTAAATGCTAACAACACACTCGTCGCATTACATACGTCACGGTAAACTCAGATCCAATCGTTTCAATCTGCAAAAGGTGTTAACCCCTCCCACCTGTTCACGGAGCTCAATGGAGCAAATCCAGACCTTAGTATGAAATGTAATTTGTACTAAGGTGTGGTACAACCAGACTACCACAGTGTGCACCAGACAGAGGAGATACTACACACCAGAGCTCCGGCCATGGTGCTATTTTTCCAGAGGGACTGAATACAGCAATTATCTCCCTTCAAATCTTATCACTTATTACAAATTTGTTTGTGTTTTAACTGTATTCTAACTTTGTATTTTAACTTTGTACGTTAACCTTGTATTTTAACTGTCTTTAGATGTACCCCTAAGAAATAAAATGTATTATTATTAGTATCATTATCAAAGCTAGTTGTTGATCTTGTAAATCAGAGGTCTCCAACCTGTAGCTCGGAAGCCACCAGTAGCTTGCCACCCCCCGTCCAGGTAGCTCGCCAAAGGATTTAGAAATTAGCAAATCAAATAATACACTTCCTATTTCAGATTGTAGTGTTCATTATCATTATCTATTATTGTAAATGCACTTACTTTGTCACTAGTAACAAATATACGATAAATATGAATACTATAACATATGATAAATAACAGCTGTACCCAATATCACGCTTGTTCACACCAATATATCACCACATTTTTCCCAGGGCCGCTTAAAGGAGTCGCTCTCTGCCTTTATCGTCCCGGGAAAGTAGCTCTCTGGGTGAAAAAGGTTGGAGACACCTGCTGTAAATAATGACATCACAATTCTCTGAGTAGAAGTTAAACTGTATACGGCATGAGCTAATGTCAGCCAGTAAACAAATGTAACACATCAATATAAAGGCCAGGTTACGCCATGAACCAATATCATCCTATAAAAAATATATAGAGTTATATGTTGGTGTATCTCTAATTTTGATTCTCTATTGATTTATGGATGCTAAATTTACAGTCCTCACACAGAAAAGGAAGGTAGAGCTGACTTGGGGTATAGATGCGGGGGTGGAGTTGGCAGACGATGTTGACAAAGACTTAAATTGTATAAAATAACGGTCTGTGTTATAAATCCATCTGCTGTGTGTGAAATGTGGCTTGTAATGGCGGCTGTAAATATTTCCTCTGCAGACTGTTTGGCCTCTTTTTCAACCAAAACCATAGCTGTGTATCTTTCAAAGAGTGGGATCTTAAACAAGTGGCATTACACCCGAAACCCGTATACACAGAGTTGTACACATGGAGGTTTTTCTGTGCTCTAGTTTCTGATGTCAGCTTCTACAACATGCATCTGGAGTATATGGACCACACGTATAATGCCATTGCAAGGAGCTGACTCTAACCAGAAAGTTACAGATATAGAGCCAAATTATTAATAGAGAATGTAAAAAAAGATGCATGAGACAAACATTTGACAATTTTCTCAAAAAACTCAAATGTTCTAAATAAAAAATAAAAACGTGATAAGTGAGCAGGTGTGAGCAGGTTTTGGTTTGGTTCATAGGGAAACTATTCTGTGTTTTATAAATTAAGTCCGTAAACTGTGGAAAAGTGTGTGAGCAATAAAAACACAATGCAATAAATTGCACAGCTAGGTCAGGAGGGAAAGGTTCCATGGTGTACCATTAATACTGGTGATTATACCCACACTTTTCAACAAAG